TATATATATATATATAAATTATTAACTGTAGTAACTATACTACCATGTATATCACAATAACGCGCAACAAAACGTCTCTGACACTACTCGATCTGCAGGATACACAGATGCATACATATGTTACATATATGTATATATGTCTATTATATAGATATATGTATGTGTATATATATGTGTATATACGGACATATATGTATATACATATATATATATACTATATATATCTCGTAGCACGTCGTTTCAGAAACGGACAAGCGCCACGGTTATCTTGAACGAACAAGAAAAAAAAATCTTATTGGATAACTTTCGTATCGTGCTCCCTTCTTTCTGTCTCCTTTTGACGACTAATTCTTTCTAATGCATCTAAGTTTTCGATAAAAAAAAAAAGAAATAAAGAAAGTACAGGCAAGCTCGTTCTTTTGACACTACTATAAGCACGTGTTGCGACTAAAAGAGGTCCTCTCTCTCTCTTTCTCTGTCTCTCTATTCTCTCTCTCTCTCTCTCTCTCTCTCTCTCTCTCTCTCTCTTTCTTTCCTTCAGTGTTCTAATTCATAAATTCCATTCATTCGGAGGAGAAAGTGTCTCCAGCGTGGCGAGAAGCTAACGCTTCTCGGTAGCACACAAGACGGTATTCACAAGAAGTTGACGCTCATTTTTGTTTGGCACGCCGCGCACCCCAGGCACATGTATGACAAACTATTTGAATGTGTTACGATCTATAAATATATATATGTATACAGAGTGTCCTCGAGTTATCGCCATTCCTTCTACATATGAATTTTTTGATCAATTCGGAGAATAGAAATTTGATAAATAGAAATAATCACAAGTAGATAAATTGTTTTAATTGTGATATTCATGTAATTGTTTTAACATAAGCGAATAATTTATGATAAAGTAAATCTCAGAAAATAAGTAGCGAAAGATGATTCGTTAATTGATTTGAAATAAACTGTGCTGTAATCTGATTATGAGGCTAGCTTACAAAGATATTTAAAACTAATTGTACTAAGCTTACTAAATGAAACATGACATAAAATTAATTTTAAGAAAAGATCGATTCCAAATTGATCAAGAAATCTATAAACAAAACGAGCGGCAATAGGTTCGAGGGAGACATCTTGCATATATATATAAATAAATAGATAAATATATATACGTAGATATAATATAGCAACAGATATATACGGGCCCATGACAACCCCCACAGCCTCGTTTTCTCAACCCTTCTCGTCCCTCCTCCCTTTTATCGTAATCGCAGCCGTATATGCCGCGCCGCAAAATTTATTCGCCGTAGCAAAAGGCATTGCACTCAACCAAAACGACAAATTGAAATACAGATATTACAAAGTAACAAATGGTATAATGAATATGTCAACAATCTGCCAATATATGTATATATATATATATAAATATACGTATAAATATATATAAATATATATATATATTGTGCAAAAAATATATATGTAAATATATATAGATATTTATACCACAGTGTACAAACGATATGCGATGTATACATAACGTATGTGTATATATATATGTATATATATTTATGTATATATATATATAAATGTAGTAAAAAAACAATCATGGCCAAAAACGAAGGTCAACTTCTTGACAGTGAGCTAGCAAGACAGGCTGGCAGGACGGGAGAGGATTCATTTGGTTTTTCGTAGTCTCTTTTGTTTGTCAATTTTTTCGTCTTTCTCTCTTTCTCTCTCTCTCTCTCTCTCTCTCTCTTTCTCTTTCGCTCTCTTTCTCTCTCTCTCTCTCTCTATCTTTCATAACAGACTTTGAGCGCACTTTTTCGGTTCCCTCAAAGTACGTGGAGATGGAATTCACAGACGGAAGAGGGGCCGAGCTTTTACGATCGAGTGGTAACTCTTGGCGCGAGCTGCACGCGTAGCAAGCAAAAGAATGCTGAAGGGGTAGAAAAGGGTCGTGAGATAGTGGAAGATACAGAGTCGTGAAACTGAAAATGAAAGTTTCGTATTCTCTAACTGAATTTTGCATATAATCTAGCCTGTTGTTTAAATACGTTTTATGAATATTTCGAGTATCATTCTAGAAAATTGTTCTGGAATATTTATAAGGAGGTAAATCAAGTATAATTCGTTTTGGTCTAATAAAGTTCACGTCTCTCTGTAACCACATTTAGAAACCGGGACAACGACTAAAGTAGATAAAGACGAGAAACTGGACTTTGAAGTAGAGACGAGAGACAGAGAGAAAGACAGAGAATGCGTGTATACATCTGTGTATCGGAAAGTAGAGAGAAGGGGTGTAATGGACGGTGGATTAGTTCGGTAAAGAAGACAATATATTCGCCACAGTAGATGAACATGCACGATCTCGTTTTTTCCCTATTTATTACATCTCGATGAGGTTTTTAAATAAATATGACGCACGAATGAAAATTTGATATAAAGACGGATGTACACTGAGAAAAAAATTTACTAAATATTAATACATATTTTTTTCAATAATACCAACTTGACAGTTACAATAAATATTTACTCAATAAAAATAAATAATTAAATAGTTAAATCAAATTAACAGTTCTTGTACCAAATAAATGTATATTACATTTAGTAAATATTCGATTAGTATTCAAACAAATATACATTAAAATTTAGTATATTTTTTTTAGTGTATGTATCTCACAAGTAAGAATTTCATAGAAGAAAATCTTTTTAAACAACATTTTAGTAATTAAAAAATGTACATAAAGAATTATACTTGCATCGTGTTTCATGAATATTCCATGACTATAACTTAATGTCTTCAATTTTTTTTTAAAGAATTATTCAACGAATCATTTGTCACAAGTTTAATTTACACTCCCTCTCTTTGTGAAATCTTCAAATCTTATATCAAAATCTTTACCGCGATAATTTCGTGTGATTTCACTATCCTTCTCTCTTTTCTTCGTTTATGAAAAACAATATTGACATTATGTCGCGCGAATCCAACTACAGCTAAAAGTTAGAAAAATTTGCCGAAAGAAAGTTACATAGAGGATACATTTAAAATGACGTTTTGACGTGAACGAGAACAATCGGTAAGAGCATCAACTGGTCAAGTGTTTTAAAAAGTATTTCACATGAAAATGTTGAAAGAACTCGATCGTAAGGAGTGGGTTACTGTAAGGTTACTCTCGGCAGGTAAAAATCGTTACAAGTAAAGCGCAAGAACGAACGAGAATCCTGCTTTCTATGTGATATCATTAGTCATGATCCTCGAAATACCGTACGATTACGGCAATTTCTTTGATAACGCGACAATTCTATCAAATTAGCAGGGAGAGCAGCAAACAGCAAAGCACTTGGGCACATGCAAGAGACCCACATGCAAAGTGAATTCGACGCACATACACATACACGCGTGCATGCGCGCGCGTGTACGTGCATATGCAATTTGCACCGTCGGACTTTCGGGTAAAGCAAAGTACGTTTATATGCATCTCGACGATACTTGAAAGTCGCGTCTGTCGTCATATATACCGGGTAGCACGTCACGAATGATCCGCCGTGATTCAGTCATAATAATGATGTAGCTTAATGCATTGCAACGCGTAATTGCAGTTGCAACTTGAAGGAACTTGGCGCAGTGGATCGTCGTCTCATCCGCAACGCGCAGCTCCTGCCGACGATTGCGAATGAGCGAGACGTTTATCAATATATAATATATGTATATATATATATGTATATAGAAATGCAGAGCAAAGAGAGGATACGAGAATAAAAAGTAGTTAATAATAAATTGGAAATATATATATGTATATATATAGCTCGCCGGAAAAAGGGGCACTTACCGGATCTGGCGGGAGTCGGTAGTCTGCGGATATCTCGCTGCTCGCGCTGCGCTCCTCGGTCGACCTTTCCCAGTCCATTTCTTTTTTCAAGGACTGCAACGGAAAGTGCATCCGGTTTATATCCAAGTAATAAACTATGTAATATATACGATCGACAAATGATTTTGAGTTGAGATCGGTGGTTTTCTTTTTACAAAATAATTGCGACATTGCTCATCAATTCGAGAACATTAACCGTGAACAGAGATATCTCGTTATTGCGGAGTAAACAAATGAATGATTCAAGTATAAAAAAGCTTAACATTATTTGTATGTAGAAAAATTTAAGCTTCGTGAATGTAGAAGAAAACCATTATAACGATAAAGTTTTATCGAATTCATGTCTATATTACAATATGATATATCAATATTTTTTTAAAACACATTTCATAATCCCCAACGTAAATATTCAATAGATTTTTCAGTCGATTTAAATTTTAAGTTCAATTATATCGACACAATAGTTGATTGGCATTTTATCGATACTCGAAATTAAACAAACTCTTCTAATACATCTGAGTAAGTAGGATTTAACAATAGATATGCAGACATATTAAAGTTTTTACACAAATATGTGTATTACTTAAATTAATATATAACCATTGAATATAATCAAACGATTTGATTATTTTAAACTTTTCAAGTTCCAATCTCTCTTCTTGCTATATCAAGAGTAAATATTACGCCAGCCGAGATTGCTTCCGAGTTAAAGTTGAATCCTACTTGCCCGGATTAGGATGGAATTTCCTTTCAAAGATTAATCTTATTGCTACTTACTAGCGGAACTTGTTGAACCGGGGGTAAGCCCGAGGGGCCGGCGAGGGGCTCGGTACTGTGCGGGGACGGAAGCCGGCTCTGTGGCAGATTCAACGGTAGCACGCCACCGGGCGCGCCACCGGTGTTGTTGCTGAGGCTCATGTCGGATGGTCCGCTGTGCACCGAGATCGGGCTGAGAGAGCCGGCCCTCGTTTCTTCGAGGCTAGCCGCGTCTTCGGAGTCCCTCCTGGGTCGGTCGAGGGCCAGCGGTCCCGGGCACGGGCTACCAGGCCCCGCGGGCGACGGCGGACAATCCGTCATGTCCACCGCCTCCGCTAGGGTTTCGCTAGGGGTGCTCTGCACGATGCTGCTGGATTGCTGCTGTTGCTGTTGCTGCTGTTGCTGCTGCTCGCATTCCTTGGCACCGGCCGACACTCCAGTGGTTACGTTCGACTCTCGTTCCCTCTCCTTGCTACTCGTCTCTTTTATACTCTCTCGATCTCGTTCTCGATCTCGTTCTCGTTCTCGTTCTCGTTCTCGTTCTCGATGATGCTCTCGCGACGTGTCGGAGGTGCTCGTATGTTGTTGTTGTTGTTGTTGCTGCTGCTGTTGCTGCTGCTGCTGTTGTTGTTGTTGCTGTTGTTGCTGTTCTTCCCTGGATGCTACCGCTGCGTTGATGTTCGTCATGTCCGCTAGACCCTTAACCTTGAGGCTCTCCGCTGTCTTGAGGAGGGCCGATAGCTGGCAGTACTCGACGTTTACCTCGCCTTTGTACATGAAGTCGACGAGGGTACGTAGCTCGGCGAAACGTACGTCCTTTAGGATAACGATGGGGTGACGGTTCGGGTGGTCGAGGAACAGGGCCTGGAAGTAACTGGAGCACGCGGAGAGGACTACCTTGTGTGCGCGTATCGACGGTCCCTCCGTGCACGCCAGTGTCACGTCCACCAGCGACTCCGACTCCAGCAGTTGACTGAACACACCCAGCAAGTTGCTCTGATGATTGTTCCACCTCAGGCAGTAATGCTCACTTCCCATGTCTGAACTGCACCCCGCAACCCTGCTATATAAGAAAGACTTGTACTCTCTGATGCTCACGAGCAGTAGGATTTCTTAACAATGTATCGCGTTACGTGGCCCAGGTATCCCGACTCTTCTAATTGCTTTACGTGATGGAACGAGGTACTCCGCGCAGGATAGTAAAATAATTGTCTCCATCTTTACTTCCAACGAAATTAATGTTATAATTTTTCAAAGTTTTTAAATTTTGTTAATGTCTTGATAATTATCAAAAGTTAATTACTACATTTGTTATTCTTTTTAAACATAGACTTTTTTATCAAAGCCTATTAAAAAATTATGCCAAATAAAAAATTGTAATGAAAAAAATTAGTTTTGTTATTTATCTAAAATTCTGTAAGGCTCTCAAATTAAACGTGATCTATTGTGATCACAATAAAAATATTCATGTCTCAACATCTTTTTTTCCGGAAGGTAGATCACTTCGATTTTCCGTAAGGAATAATCGTCATGCATTTTACATTTTACATTTAACGACTCGATGAAAGGTGCGTGCGAACGACGTGAATAATGCGATTCTTTAACGGGTAATCGCGGTGTATAATTTAAAGAACGTGTTTTGCAACATATTGACGCACGTGTGTCGCACCAACACACTTTAGCGAATACATAAGCACGCTCGTTATCGATGCATCGAAATACATCCGGAGATGTACGACCGATATCAGCTGACCGATAAGGGCTTATCTTTTATTATTCCTTCTCCCGCGTCCGACTTTATTTATTGCTGCCAGGTATAAATGCGTGAAACAGCGCGCACGCACGTGTCGCGAATATGTGCGCAGCTCGGGGAGCGACACGCATACACATAATTATGTCGAAGCGTTATTCACGTAAACGTACATTTGCGTGATATATCCGCGGATATATGCGCGATGGCGTGTACGTACGTACGCCGCACGATACTCGCGTGATTCGTTTGGCTCTCGCGATATTACGGCGATGCATGACAGAATCTCCGTCGTATATACGGTGCTCCGAAACTCTGATTATTTCAAGAAAATTCTAATCGTGAGCCTGAACTTCTTCATTGAAATCTTATCGTGGCAGAGTCGGTTTATGTGTTTCGAACAATTAAGGAAATACAAAGCTTGATATAAATTAATCGTTCGAATGTAATGAAATTTCAGGCAATGAAACTTTTTAGTAACCGTTTAAATCTGAAAGTCGATCATTCCTTTATAAAATTATTATTTGAGATTGAATTAAAAGGGAAAAATTATACTGATTTATTTATTATGTAAAGATGAGAAGACTGAATATTCTGAATGGTGGAAAATCGACAACTGGGAGATCAAGCGGATATCTCGATTCTTTATACTTTGACGCCGCTTTATATCGTTCGGCCAATTACGTTGCAGTCTGCGCGCGAGGTTACTGTATCGCGAATTGAAGGGAAGCGATGTCGAAGCGCGAATAATCAGTTTTCGAGCGTTTTAAAACAGAGGCTCGCGCACAGCGCGCATTCAGGCTTCAGATAAATTGCACCTGTCAATGCACCGGGACGGTTATAGGAATTACCTGTACTCTCGCCGGCTAAATATAGCGTCGGCACGGTCGTTACGCATTGATTTCATCGTTTTACGGCTATAATGTCGGTTGTTACCGGAACCTTCGAAACTTTTTTTTCGCCGGAAGCGCTAGAGGTCCGTTAAGCGATAAACTCTATTTGCCAACTTGCATCAAGTCATTTTCATTAAAGATGTAACGACGGTCTTGTCAGGAAATATCGATTGATATGTTTACGAGCTTAACGCTTTCTATTCATATTTCATACCAGCCCCGTGAGATGAATTTATTTGCGACGAGTTTGAAATAACATTCTCGATGTTTATAAATTTCAAAATCCATAATTACTATTTATAATATAAATCTGTAATAATAATTTAATGTAAATATACAGGAATATAGAATGAATATATAACACACGTAATAACAATTTATGTAATTTATAGTAATGCAAATAATAATAATAACGTTAAGCGTATGGGAATAATATTCGCAATTTCTGTTTGGAATGAAGTATTATTATCAAGATTATGTGTATATTACGAAAACAAGGGAACAATGTTAAATCATTTTTTTTTGCCGAGCCTAAGCCTGCAGTTAACACACTTTCCTGTAATAATCACGCGTCACGCGGTTACATATAGCTGTTCTCGAGCGTGTAAATGCCGAGCATAAAACACACGTTGCGCATCGATCACAGGATATATTGCCGCATTAAATATATATATATGTATAAAGAGAAAAAAAACAAACTTTGTATCACTCGCGCGCGCAGGCAGTTTATCCATTTGCGAATACAGAAATCGGCTGAATTAATTCAGTGAAGATGTGAACGCGCACGCCACGAAACGTTGTTGCAGCTTCCCGCTCTTTTTCCGCGCAATAAACACTGCAGTCTGGCGGGTTCTCTCTCGCCGCGCTTTACAAACTTTACTCACAAGTACCGGTTACAGCGAAATCGCTTAATAGCGAAAGTTAAGAACCCAAAGTGGATGTACATATCTATGAACGCGCTCGCGGAGTGCAACCGTGGCGCATAATCCGAAGTACGTCGTCAGGTGTTTATTTTCATTTAACCCTTTTATGGATCGGAAATTCCATTTGGGGTCACCGTCTTTTATTTTATAATAAACTGCTCGCTCCCGATTTTTATGAAACTTGGTCTATAGAATAATTTGATAACGCTTTATTCAAATTAGAATGATAAATTCGATATGGCGGACAGAATTTCAAAGAAATAATTTGATTATCATAAAACTTGGTTTTAGGGAGTTTTTAACTGTGAAGTATATATATATATA